AGAGACTTGTGTAGAAAGGATCTACATACAAATGGTAACCCTTCTCGAACAGTGGTTCTATAAGCAGCCAAACAATTTTGCCACTTGTCCCCATATAGGTAACACATCCAGGGGGGGGTCTAGCTGGCTGTCCTTTCCCTCATAAATCTTGAAGTTGTAAGTATATCCGTGGCCCTGTCACATGCCTTGTAGAATTTTACTCCATATTTGGCCCGTTTACTGGGGATGTACTGTCTGATGCCAAGCCTTCCAGTAAAGTGGACTAGGGATTCATCCACACAATATTTTTGTCGGGGGTAAACATTTCCTTGAAGGTACAGCAAAAAAAGGTGATTAGTGGCCAAATTCTGAATAGCTTATCATAATCAGGATGATTTGGAGGAGGGCATTATTATTATCGAAATGCAAAAACCTTGTCATCTCATAGAGTGTTCTGGGCATACAAGATGAATAGATTGGCATATGATGTATAGGTTGGGTAGACCTAGTAGGCAAGGACTTCATTTATTTTTGTCAGTCCCCATGTTCAGAGTAAATTTTTAATTTCTCCACAGTGAGGGGTTTTCCACACAAATGGGCGGGCATATGATGAATTGGGATTGCTGGCTATATATTAACTGACATACAGGTTACACTGCTCCACAATGTAATACAGCAAATCATTAGTAAAATATAAATGAAAAAAACAAATTGGGGTATCATTTTCTGCTTGTATCTGAGGGCCTGGCTGTGCTGTAGAAGGGGAAAATTGCAGGTTCTGCCGAATTAGCAGGCAGCCACGTGGAATATAAACGTACATCTGGGAGGCTGGTATGGGCTTTACCTCGTTGTGGATGGGAAACCCTGCTACTAGTGCCTGGCCTATCATCGGGAATGTAGCCCTGCTTGTACTCCTACAGCATCAGGATTTGTAGTGCTACTGGTGGATGCCTGGCCTATCTTCTGGGAGTTCTGCGCTGCTTGTACTCGCCACTGCGCTACTGGTGGATGTCCGCTCCTCCTCAGATCACTGGAACCTCTTTGTGTGGACTCTTTCCTTCTCAGTTCTCCGGAACCTCTTTGTGTGGACTCTTTCCTTCTCAGTTCTCCGGAACCTCTTTGTGTGGACTCTCTCCTCCTCAAAATCTGTTGCTGACCCACTGCTTTTAACTGGCTCATACTCAGAATCTGAGTCTGACAGAGAGTTTCCCTGCTACTCTCGTCCATCATACTCAGTGTCTGGAAAGCCAGCTCGCTGGTGTATCATTTTTTAGACATTTTGATGTTCACTGGTACAGATGTGGATTTGACACTGGTACTCTGTGACAGATATTGATCACTGGCACAGATGTGGAATTTTACACTGGTAGGTAGTGGCACATGTTGATCACTGGTACAGAAGTGGTTGACCACTGGTACACTGTGACATATGTGGATCACTGGTACAGATGTGGAATTTTACACTGGTACTGTGTGACAGATGTGGATCACTGGTGCACTGACAGCTGTGTGGGGTACACTATGGGGTGATCAGTTCGTGTGTAACTCACAGTTTTCACAGATCGGCTCTGCTTCTCCTTACTAGCGGGCTCTGTGTGAGGAGAGGCAGAGCCAATCAACTGAATGGCAGCTGTGTTGACATTAAATGATGGCTATGATTGGACATAGCCATCATGTGATCAGAAGGGCCAATCAGAGAGCCGTCCTGCCAAGTGCATTGCTCAGGGGACACTGGCACACAGAGCACGCAGCTGCACGGCCATGTTCTGATGGAAGTTCAGGAACATCCACGCAGAACGATGAAGATCCCACCTGTCCGTTAATGTGCGGTGGCCAGGCGATAAGCGGTTAAAAAAAAAAACTGCTTTGCAGATGTTTCATCATTCACACAAAAGTAACGAATAACACCCGGAATGTTTATACAGCTTGAAGACCAAACATTTTCCAGGACGTTTTGTTTACAACTAGTCTAAATTGGTATTTCTTGCTAGAAAATTACTTATAATCCCCAGACATTATATATTTTTTAGCAAACACCCTAGAGAGCGAAAATGTCGACCGTTTCAATTTTTTTTTATGTCACATGGTATTTGCACAGCTCTTTTTAAAACACTATTTAAAAAAAAAAAAAAATACATTTCAGTGAATTAAGACAAACAAAATTCAATATATACCCCCAATTTTTTTATAAAATATAAAAGAGGATGTTATAACGAGAAAATAGATAACTAACATGCTTTACAATTATGGAAAGGCAACAAACTACGGAATTTCAAAATCTCCATAGGCGATGCTTTAATAATTTTTTTACAGAATACCAGTTCAGAGTTACAGATTAGGTCTAGCGCTGGATTTATTGCTCTCACTCTAACGATCACAGCGATACCTCACATGTGTGCTGCAAACACCATTTACATATGCGCACATAATTGATGTATGGGTTCACTTCTGCATGTGAGCACGGTGGGATGGGGGCACTTTTTTTTGGTTTTTTTACTGTCCCTTTCATTTGTATCACTTTTATTCCTAATACAAGAAATGTAAACATCCTTTGTAATAGACATATACATGACAGGTCCTCATGAAGATCTGAGCTAAAAAAGACACCAAGCCTCTAAAAACAGGTTTAAACAAAAATATTTTTTTGAACTGTTGCTTTAAAAAAGAAAAATATTTGTTTACTTCCACTGCCGACTGGATTTAATGTCATGACGGCGTTCTGGTCCACCATCATGATAGAGGTGATCAAAGACCAAAGAATCTTTCATTGCCGCCATCCTGAGGAGGTTGCACCATCAGATCATTTCTCTGGCAGGCCGGCGTTAACAGTAAGCCTGAGAAACACCAGCGAGCCACGGGAGGTGGGGGGGGCGCCCCCTTCCACCACTATAGAAAGCAATCCATCAGTTCAAGGGCCACTAGGACCACTTTCATATGAAAGCCGGCCGCTGAAAAAAAAAAACAGTACCAGGGTTATGGCTCATTTCTTCAGCCATAACCCTGGTAAACCACTTGACAACTGCAGTGTTTATATATGTATACACAGTGCCAGTGATTCCACGAGGCAAACTAGGTGGCTACTTAGGGTACACTGCCTCCTAGGGGCACCTGGGCACAGCACAGGCCTGCACTCATTGTGTGCGACGCCACCACATCATGAATGATCCTTCAGCTGAGGGGAGGGGCAGCAGAGGGGAGGAAGAAAGGACAGAGGAAGATGCCGGGTGTCTGGGGCCAGTGTAGCAGCTGAGCTGCCACAGCTTCCAGTGTTCCTCTCAAAGTAAGTTGTTCCATGTACAGGAATGCAGACAACACAAGCTGCTGGTGTGAGGAATCATGTTGTACAACAGAACTGCATCCAGGTCAGCATAGAACAGGAAGCAGGAAGTATAAGGCGATGCAATATTACCGGATACAAGTCGGGTCACAGTATTTGTAGAATGACTCTATACGAATTATTCAAAAATTTGATTCGGCTGATTCGCCGAATTTCAGGAAGAAATTCGATTCGATGCGAATTTTATTCGCTACGAAGTTAACTTATAAAAAGGGTTTCTAGGCTTCAGAGAGCCTTTAAATTAGTGCAGAACACTGTACCTTTAATTTAAATGCCCTTGGAGATGAGGAAGGAGAAGGAGAAGGAGAAGGAGAAGGATGAGAAAGAAGGAGAAGGAGAAGGATGAGAAGAAGGAGAAGGAGAAGGATGAGAAGAAGGAGAAGGAGAAGGATGAGAAGAAGGAGAAGGATGAGAAGAAGGAGAAGGATGAGAAGAAGGATGAGAAGAAGGATGAGAAGAAGGAGAAGGATGAGAAGAAGGATGAGAAGAAGGAGAGAAGGATGAGAAGAAGAAGAGAAGGATGAGAAGAAGGAGAAGGATGAGAAGAAGGAGAAGGATGAGAGAGAAGAGAAGGATGAGAAGAAGGAGAAGGATGAGAAGAAGGAGAAGGATGAGAAGAAGGAGAAGGAGAAGGATGAGAAGATGGAGAAAGGAGAAGGATGAGAGAGAAGGAGAAGGATGAGAAGAAGGAGAAGGATGAGAAGAAGGAGAAGGAGAAGGATGAGAAGAAGGAGAAGGATGAGAAGAGGAGAAGGATGAGAAGAAGGAGAAGGAGAAGAAGGAGAAGAGAAGAAGGAAGGAGAAGGATGAGAAGAAGAGAAGGAGAAGGATGAGAAGAAGGAGAAGGATGAGAAGAAGGAGAAGGAGAAGAAGAGAAGAAGGAGGAAGAAGGAGAAGGATGAGAAGAAGGAGAAGGATGAGAAGGAAGGAGAAGGAGAAGGATGAGAAGAAGGAGAAGGATGAGAAGAAGGAGAAGGATGAGAAGAAGGATGAGAAGAAGAAGAAGGATGAGAGAAGGATGAGAAGAAGGATGAGAAGAGATGATGAGAAGATGGAAGGAGAAGGATGAGAAAGAAGAGAGAAGGAGAAGGATGAGAAAAAAGGAGAAGGAGAAGGATGAGAAGATGGAGAAGGAGAAGGATGAAAGAAGAAGGATGAGAAGAAGGAGAAGGATGAGAAGAAGGAGAAGGAGAAGGAAGATGAGAAGAAGGAGAAGGATGAGAAGAAGGAGAAGGATGAAGATGAGAAGGAGAAGGATGAGAAGAGAGAAGGATGAGAAGAAGGAGAAGGAGAAGGATGAGAAGAAGGAGAAGGATGAGAAGAAAGAAGAAGGATGAGAAGAAGGAGAAGGAGAAGGATGAGAAGAAGGAGAAGGTTGAGAAGAAGGAGAAGGAGAAGGATGAGAAGAAGATTGGATGAGAAGAAGGATGAAGGATGGAGAAGGAGAAGGATGAGAAGAAGGAGAAGGATGAGAAAAGAAGAGAAGATGAGAAGAAGGAGAAGGATGAGAAGAAGGAGAAGGATGAAGAAGAGAAGAAGAGAAGGATGAGAAGAAGGAGAAGGATGAGAAGAAGAAAAAGGATGAGAAGAAGGAGAATTCCAAGCCGGCAAAAAGTGTATCTGCAGAGCTCCGCTATTTCTTAGCGGAGCTCTGCAGCAGATACACTTTTTGCCGGCATTGAATTCTTCTTATTTTCATCCTACTTCTTCTTCTTCTTCTTCTTCATCCTCATCCTCTTCTTCTGAGGATGAGAAGAAGAAGAAGAAGAAGAAGTAGGATGAAAATAAGAAAATTCCAAGCCGGCAAAAAGTGTATCTGCAGATCTCCGCTAAGTGTATCTGCAGAGCTCCACTATTTCTGACAGTTCTGTGACATTCACCTCCATACAGCGGTTGAAACATTGTATCTATTTGTTTCCATAAATGGAAACAAATAGATACAATGTTTCAACCGCTGTATGGAGGGAATGTCACAGAACTGTCAGAAATAGCGGAGCTCTGCAGATACACTTAGCAGAGCTCTGCAGATAGATACAGCGGTTGAAACATAGGCTATGTTTCAACCGCTGTATGGAGTGAATGTCACAGAAACTGTCAGAAATAGGCTATTTCTGACAGTTCTGTGACATTCCCTCAGCGGTTGAAACATTGAATCTATTTGTTTCCATTTATGGAAACAAATAGATACAATGTTTCAACCGCTGTATGGAGTGAATGTCACAGAACTGTCAGAAATAGCGGAGCTCTGCAGATACACTTAGCGGAGCTCTGCAGATACACTTTTTGCCGGCTTGGAATTCTTCTTATTTTCATCCTACTTTCTTCTTCTTCATCATCTCATCCTCATTCTTCTTCTTCTGAGGATGAAGATGAGAAGAAGAAGAAGAAGAAGTAGGATGAAAATAAGAAGAATTCCAAGCCGGCAAAAAGTGTATCTGCAGAGCTCCTCTAAGTGTATCTGCAGAATAGAGGAGCTCTGCAGATACATCTTTTTGCCGGCTTGGAATTCTTCTTATTTTCATCCTGTGTATCTGCAGAGCTCCTCTATTCTGCAGATACACTTAGAGGAGCTCTGCAGATACACTTTTTGCCGGCTTGGAATTCTTCTTATTTTCATCCTACTTCTTCTTCTTCTTCTTCTTCTTCATCCTCATCCTCATCCTCTTCTTCTTCTTCTGAGGATGAGGATGAAGAAGAAGTAGGATGAAAATAAGAAGAATTCCAAACCGGCAAAAAGTGTATCTGCAGATCTCCGCTAAGTGTATCTGCAGAGCTGCTCTATTTCTGACAGTTCTCTGACTTTCACATTTACAGCGGTTGAAACATTGTATCTGTTTCCGAATAAAAAAACATCTGTATCCTAAATGGAAACAAATAGATACAATGTTTCAACCGCTGTACATGTGAAGGAACTGTCAGAGAACTGTCAGAAATAGCGGAGCTCTCTGCAGGGACACTTTTGCCGGCTGATCGGGAAAAATCCGATTCGCGCACCCGAAGTAGGCTAATATTCGGATTCGACGCGAATCAAATTTTTCCTGAAATTCGAATCGAATTCCACTTCGCCTGGTTCGATTCGCTCATCTCTACTTGTAAACAATGAAACTAAAACAGATCCTGAACAGTCTTGAACATGGCATGCTGTGTTACTGGTAGATACACTACAGACTGAGTCTATCTGGTGGTCTTGAAACTCAACCACTACGCAAGGCCACAGGGATTTTGCCTGGAGAAATCCGTTCAGCTCCAGAAGGTGTTGACAAGGAGCGACCCTCTTTCCTGGCTGGTGTGTTTGGCAGACAAGAACTTGACGGGATATGTAGCTGCATTTTGTCATCCTCATTGTATCCCGATATGACAGCGGAGTTCTCTCTGCTTTGAGTATATGGTCCAGTAGAAGTTGGGGCATTGAGCACCTCAGGAGGATCACGTGCAGGATGCTCACAGGCTTATGCGGTGAATCGTTCTGCCCTTCGCAGGTCCACTTGATTGCGGCAATAAAGACTGCCTTCTACATACACAAGATATGATTGAGGAGCAACCCTCTGAACACAGGAACTCAGTCTCCAGCGACCGGTCCTGTCACATGGAAGCGGCTTCATACGGATTGGCTCTCCAATGCTTAGTTCAGGTAAGTCTTTAGCAGACACATCGTATGACAGCTTGGCAATCTGTTTCCTCTGCTGCAGTTTCGCCAGGACACCTGTAACCACACAAGGATCAAGTAATATGTTGGCCACAGGCAATGAAGTCTTCAGTCTCCTAGACATCAAGCGCTGTGCAGGACTACTGTCCATGCCTTCAGATGGGGTGTTCCTCCAATGCAGAATGGCCTTCCATGGATCAGTATCATCAAACTTGGCCTTCTTACAAAGATTCTTCACTATCTTGACAGCTGATTCCGCTTTGCCATTTGCTTGCGGGTGCCTCGGGGATGAGGTAACATGCTTGAATCCCCAATCTGTAGAGAACCGTCTGAATTGCTCACATGCAAATTGAGGTCCATTATCCGAGATGACTCTATCCGGCTGGCCATTAACGTGCAAACTGTGCTTTACAATGCTTGATGGTAGTGTCAGCAGACAGGTCAGGAAGTAGCTCAATCTACCAAAAGTCGGAATATTGATCAACAATTAGTACAAAATCCTGCCCAGCATAATTCAGTAAGTCCATGCTTACAATTTGCCAAGGCCGGGTGGGCAGCACATGCTACATCATAGGTTCTGTTGTGCCTGCGCATATTCATTGCATGGTGAGCAACAGCTAACAAAGTCTCTAATCTCGTTCTGCATGTTGGGCCAGTATAGGGTATCACGTGCTTGCCTATAGCATGCTTCGCCGCCAATGTGACTGGCATGAATACGAGTCAGCATCTCCCATCTTAAAGATTTAGGAATGATGACCCTTGGCCCTTGTACAGTATACCATCTTGAATGGCGATTTCATCTCTGAAAGTCCAATATTCTCTCACAAGTAATGGCACTTCCAACTTGGAATCAGGCCAACCATTCAGAACAACATATTTAAGAGCCTGCAAACTCTCATCGGTTTCAGTGTGCTGTTTATCTGAAGCAATCGTTGGTCCGTGACGTATAAATAGTCTGAATGATTAATCTGTGACAGGACCTTCAGGTCCCGCTGAACATTGCAAACTGTGTGTTGTGCATAGTCAGGTGTACCACCTGCTGCTGTAGCTAGATAGGTAACAAATCCAATGAAGTGTTGCAGGGATTTCACATTTGCTGGCTGCGGCATATCCAGTATGGCTCTGATTTTTTCTGGGTCAGCCTTCAAACCCTCCCAGGTTAGAATGTGTCCATGAAAGCAGACCTCTTTGACCTTGAATTGCAGTTTTTTGATGCCAAGTCTCAATTTTACCTGCCTACAACGATTCATCAGTTCCAGCAGTTTGCCATCATGATCTTGCTCTGCTTCCTCATCTGTGTCCCCACAGCCAACCACAAGGATGTCATCAGCTATTGGTTCAATACCACTGAGTCCAGCCAATAGTTCATGTTGTTTATGTTGATACACCTCTGGTGCAACTGATACTCCAAAAGGCAGTTTGAGCCATCTTTTCCTGCCCCACGGAGTCCAGAAGGTTGTCATGTAACTGCATAATGCATCCCGGGCATCAACAAGTGTGAAACAGACGTGCCTTTGGCAGCTTGTACAAAACATCCTCGAGAGTTGGCATGATGTAGTGAGATCGTCTCAGGGCCATATTTAAGAATTTGGGATCTATGCATATTCGTAGCTTATTTGGCTTCCTTACAATCACCATGTTACTTATCCAGTCAGTTGGGTCAGTCACTGGTGTCAAGGGTCCATTGGCCTCATACTGGTCAAGCTGTGCCTTAACTGCCTGTTTTAATTCCACTGGCACATTGCGTGGTGCACATTGGACTGGAGGGACACTCACATCAAGGTCGAAATGAACTTCCCCTGGTACAGATTCCACTGGCCCAGTAAACACATCACTAAATTCCTTTATCAGCAGTTGTTTTGTCAAGGGCCCCTTGGATAGATTGTCCATCACATTAAGCTCTGCAGGGACGGAGAAATGTATCAGCCCTAGACGCTCACAGGTTGATCCAGACAACAGTGGCTTTTGGCAGGCTTCCACAATTCACACTCCAGCTTGTGTGTTAGTCCACGTATGGCACATTCTGTCTTGAAGAGCCCTAGAGATTTCATCATCGCACCGGAGTATAACTTTAACCTGGTGTCACTTGGCAGTAGACGTGCTTCTGGTGCTAACACCATTTTGTCTCTTAAGCACATTACATCCCACGTTGTTCCTGAATGGAGGTGACAGGATTGGGGCTTATTATTTACATGTAAAGTGACAAACCATTTCTTTCCTCTGGATTGCACAGCGCCGATCAATTCACTGCTGTATATAACTTCAGTGGTGTGCGTCTCTTCCTCATATGTGGATGTGTTCTCCACGTTGTGTCATTTGCCTATTGATGGCCGTCGTTTACTTGACAAACAAACGTTAGCAAAATGGTTTGTTCTTCCACAAGACTTCCAAGACTCCCCATAAGCTGGACACGGCTCTTTAATTCTTTCATGCACAGTCCCACAGTATTTGCACGCTGTAGGGTTGGCAGTATTTGTGCTCATCAGCATGTTGCTGCAGTTTGTTCCTGTTGCCATGCTGCATTGCAATGTTTATGCTGTCGGTCTGCTGTCTGTCCTGTTCCATAACTTTCAGACGTCTGTCAGTGAGCTCTGCTGTATGGCACGTCTCAATGGCTGTGTGTAGAGTGAACTCATGTTCTCTTAGGAGGCGCCTGCGTGTGCTCTCTCACTAGCTATACCAACAACAATTGTGTCCCTTATCAATTCATCTCTGAGTGCCATATTCACAAGTTGCTGCCTTTTCTCTCCAGTGTGTAACAAAGTGATCCAAAGTTCTCCCTCTTCTTGTTTGCAGCATCCAAACACATCCCTTTCATAAATGACATTTGTAGCAGGTATGAGATCATCTTCCAGTACATTTACAATGGCTGTAACATTGTGTTTGCTGATCTGCTGTGAGGGTCACATGGTGTTTATACACATGCCTGCATTCACTGCCCATGACTCTTCTCAGAGTTGCTGCCGGCACTCCTGCACATTTCTCATTCCAGCCTGTAGCCAGACAATAATCTTCACATTCAGCTCTGAAAGATTCCCAATTGCTGCTCCAAATCCCCACTCATTGTCATCCCCTCTGGGGGAGGTATGCCATTCATGGCAGCCATATTGTCAGGAAGCCTCTGAGCTATCAAATCTCAGACAATCCTCAGTCTCAGGCTGTAGTTCACAAACCTGTGTTTCCAAAAGCTGCTGCACTCCAAACAAGAGGCTCAGTCCTGATTCCAGTCACTTCTGACACCATGTTTCATGTACAGGAATGAAGACAACACAAGCTGCTGGTGTGAGGAATCATGTTGTACAACGGAACTGCATCCAGGTCAGCACAGAACAGGAAACAGGAAGTATAAGACCATGCAATATTACCATATGCAAGTAGGGTCACAGTATTTATAGAATGACTCTATAACATAAGTCCCTTAGTGCAAATTGGCTGGTGGCTGCTGATCACTGTGGAGTTCCAGCCCTTCTCTTCCCATTCATCAGTGAAGGCGAATCTGCACCTGCGGAAGAAGGCAATGTGTGACTCTGATGTCTTCTGTCTGTGTGAGTGTGACCCGGCTGCGGGCGATCACTAGAGATGAGCGAATCGAACATGACGAAGTGGAATTCGTTTCGAAGATTTGGAAAAATTTGATTTGCGACGAATCCGAAGATTAGCAAACTTCGGATGCACGAATCGAATTTTCCCAAAAATGGCGGCGACATGTGTGGCGACGGAGCGGGGATCTCTGGGAAGACGCGCAGACAAGGCGCGCTGACCCATAATGCATTCATTCATGACATGTGATCGCATTAGCCAATCAGCAGCCAGCCAGCCAGCACTGTGTAATGGTGGAGCTATAAATCGCGGCCATCTTAGAATTCTCCATTAGCCTCCGGTCATTCAAGAGAGGCAGACCTGTGTGAATTAAGGGACAGAGTTAGGGCCACAGAGACTTTAGGGCCACAGAATCGTTACTCAGGGACACAGAATCGTTACTCAGGGACACAGAATTGTTACTCAGGGACACAGAATCGTTACTCAGGG